TGACATACGTTTTTCTCCAAAAGAGAACACAATACTAATTTTCTTCATTGGTTCTTGTGAAGATGTAACTGTGTAAACAGAGGAATCAAAGAGAAAAGGGCTACCCTGTGCAGAGTGAGAGATTTTCAGTAAAGGACTGAAAGTATGTTCGTATTTACTTATGAGAGGTGCTAGTTGTAACTTAAGCTGCTGTCAAACTAGTTTGTGGGCGTTTCCTGCCCTGTCTAGTCTTGCTGACCTACTGTTTTATGTTGGCACCTTGTTGAACAGGAAGAGTCACAAAAGACTCCTCTCTAGCTTTTCTAGAATCAATAGTATGGCTGTAAGAGGAAACAAAGCCATTCTCCTTCTGGACATTTGTTGAAAAACAAACAATACATGCTGGCACTTTCTAAAGAATAGGGAGTGAGGCAAAATAAGAGCTCATGTGCAGAACAATAAGATTTCTGGTGATACTAACTTTCATTGTGCTGCATATGTATTAGGAGAAGGGAGTATATGATCCTTCAGATATGGCTGTGACAGAATGTCCATCAGCCCATACCAATATAGCAATTAATGATCAGTCATAGGCATTGCAGTCTAATATATGTGAAGGGACATATCTTCCCTACTCTTTTTTTTTTAAACGAAGAAATCCTTTAAGCAGCTTTATAACAAGTTCACCATTGTTTTCCTCTACTATAATTCAAGCTACAAGATTATTGCTTGGATAAAATTGCCTTGGGCATTCCTGGATACAGTGATATTGGACCTAGAAATTCCTGACTTAACTATACTATACACTACCCTTTAAGATGTCTTTAGATAACCAGAGCAGCAACCAAAGTTCATGTTTTTAACAATGGTGTTTCCCACAGTGTAACTCTGAATTCTATCTTCCATGGCAGCAAAATGCTTTTGATTTATCTGTGATTGCAGTATGAATAAGCGTCGCCTCAGTACACTTGGCTGTCCCTCAGATGTAAACAAATGCTCTTGCTGGAGCAAGAAATTATTATTGGAGCTATGCTTGCAAATTCAAGGAAGAGTAGCAACCCTGGTAACACATAATAGGGGCACATTGAGTTTGGACATTCATTTCCACTTGACTAAACACTACAGCACAAGCCCATTGTTTTGTATATAATGCACCACTAGAGGTGTGGATGAGCAGATGTACAGCACAGGGATTTGTTGTTTCAACATCTACCGAGAATACTTTGTAGAAAGCTTTCATGGCTAGGATAATTGGGTTGCTTTGAGGTTTTTGGGCTGCATGGTCATGATCCAGCAGCATTCTCTTCTAACATTTCACCTGCATCAGTGGCTGGCATCTTCAAAGGTTCTGCTGGCAGTGAGGCAAGTGGAGTGTATATATACCTGTGGACCTCTAAAGATGCCAGTCACAGATTCAGGTGAGATGTTAGGAGAGAATGCTGCTAGAACATGGCCACCCAGGCTGAAAAACTAACAGCAACCCAATGGTCCTGTACAGTTTATCATTCTAGTGTTATCTGATCTACAGTTGTGGGAAATTACATCTTATTGTACCTAATCAATTTGGTCTGAACTATGCCATATAGTAGTGCATGGGAGTCTTCATGTAAACATGATATATCCTGCTGATATGATAATATACAGTTCCGCTTTGACAATCCATGATTTCTGCTCCCAATTGTAAATTCTCATCCAATGCTCCTCCCAGTAGAAACCCTGAGTGGCATGTTCATCAGTACTAAATACTGTGCTACTCTGCTGCCCAAATTGAACAACCATACTTCTCTAGTTCTGAAATAGAGATAGCTCTTTGACATTGAGTTGTAATAGTCCATGTTGTCAAAAACTGGAGTACACGTCTTGTCTTAGCCTGGATCAGAAGGAACTGTGAATATGTTCATGTTTAGAATGCGTTAGGAGATTATACATGATTTGGGGGTTTTGTGTTTTGAGATCCATCTCCATAAGCTTAATTCTGTCTTAAATGAAAGACTAGAGTGCTCTTCTTGGGTTTCCTTATGTGGAAGTTAAAGTGCAAGAAGGATACCTGGTGTGTTTTGAATTAGTGTAAGATGAGGTTGGGTTTGAGCTATGGTTCACAGAAACATAACAATTTACTCCTTGCATTAAGCAGACCAATTACTCCAACCAGTTGTAAACTTATTTTTAAGGAAACCACATCAAACCACAAATTAGATAAGGAGAGACAGTTACTTTGCTACTGAATGGCTGTGAAACATATCTCTGAATCCAAAGTATTCTGCTAAAACTTAGTCTTAAGGAGTGGCAACTTGGAAATTATTCTCCCTATATAGAAGAATTATCTTCCAAGGACCCAGGAGGGTATTTGGAAATATAATCCAGGCTTAATCCTTCTTGTTTTCAGTATCAGGCAGGATCTGGGTGCCTGATACTGAAACTAGTATTTTGATGTACTTTTCTGATTTCAAATGTGTCTGGTAAGTACATGGCTTTGCATTTGATCAAGTTCAAGAATTTCAGTCAAAGGAGAGCTACGTTGATGATTGCTTTCACCCTGCCTCCAGTTTTTATTGTAGGAAGTCCTCTGAACTACTTGTGTTTTTCCCACAGAATACAAAATCTTTTTTTCTTTTTCCTTTTGATGCCTCTTTTAAATATTTTCCTCCTTCTTAGGTAGCATTGTTAGGGATTCTATAAATAAAAACTATTACTCATTCTGTGAGGTATGAAGGAGCAGAACAGCCACCTCTTGGCTAATGAGACTGAAATAAGAAACCATAGTTTTGTTTTATAATCTGTTTTCTTTGTTAGTGTCAAATGAAAGCATGTGCTTTTTGGGTTTTTTTTCTAGTTGTGCTGCCAAAAGTGATGTGATTGGGAGGGGAAAGTATGTACTTAGTACAACATAGGCTGTGTTACACACTATATACCTTGCATACTATATACCAGCTTTAAAAAAGAAAACCCTCACTGTGAATGCAGACAAAGAACCAGCAAACCAGGCTATATAGTCTTCAGTGGTTCCCAACCTTTGGACCTCCAGGTGTTTTGGACTTCAGCTCCCACAGTTCCTAAGATCTGGTAAGCTGGCTGGGATTTCTGGGAGTTGAAGTCCAAAACACCTGGAGGCCTAAAGATCGGGAACCACTGCAAGGGGCTGTGGAAATCCAGGAAAGGGGGGTGGGATAGAAAGTAGGAAAAAATCAATTCTGGCATTAATCACATAATACAATTTTTGCATACTCTGGAACCCTATTATTCTTACCTGAAAGGAACATCTTGGAGCTTCTATCTGAAACATACCATAGAATTGCACCAAATGACTTAAAATTCGCAGAGAAATGTTCTCTCCAAGCTTTCAGTATGATTCTATTGTTTTCAGCTTCCTAATGCATCCCTAGGTCTTCCAGAGCAATTCTATGGTATTCAAAGCTGTTTGAGATGAAATTGCATTTTACAATCCTGCATACCAAACCAGCCTACTGTACTAACAGGCATTAAGTTACTTACTTACTATTATTACAATCCAATTGTCAAGCAGAAATATAAAATGGGCAAAGATAATTAATGGTTGGCATGCGTTATGGGTAGGAAATTCCAGGACAATTGAAGATGGTTCATCTCCTGTCCCCCCAAACAATATTCCTGGATTCATCTTCTTAGAGATTAGGACTCCTAGCCTTAGCTGATTTAGCAACTTCAAAATCTTCCTCTTTATTTTAAAAAGACACACATGTAACTTGTCCAGCCTATCCCTGATTTAGATTAGTCAAAAACTGTGTGATACATGTTCTAATATTGGCTCCAAGCATAACAGGTTTGTGATTAACTGTACAAGAATGTTTTATTTGCTATAGTTGAACAATGCCCTTGGCTCTCTACTACCAGCTCCCTACATTTCAGAGTTTGCAAACTGATTCATCTCGCTAAAGTAAACATAAGCATGTTCGGATATAATGAACTGCAAGCCACAGCTCTCTGGGTTCTTGTGAATTTTTTTGTCCATGCTTTGGCCACTTATTATTTAAGACAGGTTACTATAACCTTCTTTGGTGTTTCTCCACCCATGTCTTAACTTGAGTTGGTTCTAAAATGCCATCCTACTCAGCCCATGTCAGGTCCCAAAGATCTTCTCATTCTTCATTTCATTCTTTCCTACTAGATTCCTGTGATTTTGCAATACTTTCAAAGTTTTGATCTTGGCCTCAAAGTTCCAAAGGACATATTTATATTCACATATGGGGAACTAATTTGTACAGCTCGACTTTCCTTTGTAGTTGCTCCCAGAGTCAAAAAAGGCAAACTTCTCTTGAGTTCTAAGGGAAGTTGCTTACATAGGATGTGATACAAGACCCCTCTGTATGCTACTGCATTAGTGGTTTCACAGGTGATCAGGAATTCCGAAAAGCCTAGTCCAATGATTGCCTTATTCCAATTGCTCCTAAATGATTGCTTTCCAGATATTTTGAATTACAATTATCATACCAGATTAATAGCCATATTGAATTGCCCTAGTGAGAGATGTAGCTCAGGACACCTTCAAAGCAATATATTGGATTAGGATGTTTTATTTACATGCAGTCATCTTCTTTGGAGCACAGTGTTTGTTTTATGCTTTGTCTCTCTTCCAAAGAAAGTGTTATTTAGGATTTGTGGGAAGGAGCATAGTGCACATACCCCCACTTTTAGGCAGTATGATCTCTGAACCAGTGGCAGATTTGATGGTTTGGATGCATGACATCCTGGACTGTGCTGATTGTATCACTAGTGAAAGGACCTCAGGTGCTCCTGTGGTCTCTTCTAAGAGAAAAACAAAGATATGATTATGATGATTGGAAAAAATCATGATGAAGATTTATCACAGACACTGTCAATCTAGATGGATCAGTCATTTCAATTTATAGATAGCAGCTGGCTTTTAATTGAGGGGTTTTAACCTGGTGAGATGGTTTCAAAGAGGTTCTATGGATTCACTAACTATGGGAGGAACCTTTGCTTTCATCTATATGATCTGTGTGCATCTCTTTGTTTCTATATAGGATCCAAACTACTGGATACAAGTACATCGTTTGGAACATGGTGATGGGGGAATCCTTGACCGTGATGACATCCTTTGTGACGTAGCTGATGATAAAGATAGAGTGAGTATAAATGTTTGGAAGAGCACTGCTCCTTGGCATAAGAGTGCCTGGAATTGTGAAACAAATAGTTTTGGAATGGAAGTCATTTACTTTTTACAACACATTTTAAGGACAGTAGATGTACTATTTGCTAAACAATGGTAGGTATAATCTGGGCAGATGGAGAACACATTCTCTTCTTAGAGAAATTAAGACAGAACCAAAGAGTAATGTTGCTTTTTGAGAGGAAAACTAGAAGAGCAGCTCTATTTTTTCAAAATTGAAACTGTAAACAAAAATATTGGTATATTTTAGTTTTGTGTATGTGTGTGATAGAGAATGCTCATATTTTAAGGAACAACGCTTAATCCTGAATCTCTGTGTGGGTGTTTTTATGTCAGCTTTGAGTGCCACTTCAGCAAGGATCATTGTCACAGTATTTTGTGTCAGAAGCTGAGAAACCTGTCAGACAACTGAGGACCATTTCTTTTTCACAGCCCTAGATTTTGCTTCCTTGTGATGACAAAATCTTTGTTTGAAGCTCCTGACTTGTTGGTGATGTGTGCAAGTCATATTATAAACATCCACAATTCTTGCAGCTTTAGGCATGTTGGATAGGCAATCCAAGGTTTGTTCAGAGTGTGTTTATCCCTATGTGCTCCTGTCATTCATGTTTGCAAGCTACATGCCTTTCTACACCCACTAGGAGCATAACTCACTTTTGATGTTTGGCTGTTCTTTCCCCTTGTCATGAATGGTTTTAATTGTATGGTGTTTGGGTTTCTCTATATATAGTCCAGTCAGGTAGGTTTCGTATACTCTGGCCTGGTTCTCTTTCTTCAGCAGGGAGTTTATAGCTTTCTGGAATTCATATAAATCAGTCTTCTGCATTCTTGCATAGAGTGAGTCCGAATATGAGACCTATCTTTCCTATCCAATATAGAACACATTGGCTTTGAAAGATGGAAGCTGTACTCTGACACATCGGAAAATCTTGCTTTAAATTAGGGATGGAATCTTGTGATGCTCCTGGTGTTGGAGGCCAGCAGTTCCCAACAGCCTTGGCCAGGATATTCAAAAGGAAAGAGTATTGAAGGTTGTAGTTAAACAATAAAGTTGGCCATCCAGTTTTGTGGGGGTCAGGGGTGCAGGCCTACTTTGAAAGCAGAGATGCCAGAAATCAGAACACTGCGATTTCTTTTTAACTGAGAGAGAACAAGAGTGAATATGTGGTCAACATAAATATAAAGGAAGACATCGAGATTCCTACAGAATTCTTACAGAAGTATTCTTTCAAAGAATCTCTAGGTCCTCCATTGCAATCCTATGGTCAGTTTCTGGTAAAAGTTGAACATAAAGTCGCATTGAAAGACCTAGAGCAGCCTGCACAGCCTGTTGCCCTCCAGGCGTATTGGACTCCCAAATCCCAGAAGCCGTAGCCAGCTTCTCAAATGGTCAGGAATTTTGGGAGCTGAAGTTCAGAATACCTGGAAGGCCACAGGTGATCCAGTACTGACCTAGAGGTTCTCAGAATAAACCTGCAAATGTGGAGGACTGACTATATCTGAAAGTCTGTGTGATTCTCACCATAATGCTCATGATTCTGCTTTCACAGAATTGCACACAAAAGTCACACATGTGTAGGGGCCTTCGTATATTCTTCTAGGAAGGGACATTCCTTCTTATGATACAGTTTATGTCTTTTTCTTTCATAGTGAAGAATTGCCAATGCACAGAACACTAAGGCTGTGGCTCCTAATGCCTGGTCTTGTTTATATGTTGAGTGTTATCAGTTTAAGGAATGAGACTGAAGAGTTACAATTTTCTGAGAAACAGAAAAAGGTTAAAGAAGAATGGAGTTTTCCTTTTGTTTATAACTGGCCCTTTATTATGGGATTTCAAGGTAGTGTATTGATAAAACAGCAAGCAAGTTAATGCCATTCCAGATTAAAACAATAAAACCGTAATGTTTTTATCTGGCTAAAATTATTTTATTATTTTAATCTGAATCTGGAACAAAGCAACAAGTATTACCAGTTTAATAGGTTGCAGTGATTAAAAACCAGACTCATGTACTGTTAAGGTAAATTGAGTCCCAAAGGTTTTAATAAAATAACCCATTTTGCCTTGGCACTATATGGCAATCAGTATTGAAGCCATTGGGACCTTCCACAGGAGGATCTTCAATAATTGAGATGCAGCAGCCAAAAAGACCCTTTTTTGAACCTTCCTGTGGGAGAAGATGAGCCTTACGTGTTCATTCTAATAGACTGCTTATACATTTAAAGGACTGCGAACCCCTGTCTGGCTTTGTATGACTGCAGCTGGATTCTCATTTCCTTATAACAGAGTTCACAGGCTGGTCATAGAAACAGCTGTGAGGCACAGGATTTTGTCTGACATATGGTGCCATAGAGCCCGGGGCATAGTTCAGTATGTTGCAGAAAGTTTTATGTCACTGTACCCTAAAGATATTCTTTATCTTGGCTTCTGGTTATGTTCACACTAGTACGACCTTTTGGGGACCTCTCTGGAAGGCCAGACTCCTGGACTATCAGTCACTTATTGAATTCATCAGTGTTTCTGTCTAGCCGTTGCTGACAAAACACAGTTCTGGGACAACTGTGACCTTTGCGTGGAATAAACATTTCCTGATAGTTGCCTCTTTCTATTGTTGAGTCCTTGACTCCTAGAAATTTCCAACTCCAAAATATTGTTTTTCAACTGATAAAACTGTACATGTATGGAGCTCAGTGGCAAAATAAGCTGGTGATAAAGCACAGATAATAGAATGATTGTTATTTGGATCTTTGGAAAAAGTTTAACACATGGCCACAGTGAAGAAAAATTGAAAGTTTTGGAGGTGGTAGTGGCAAATAATTTAAAAACCATTTTGCATAAGTTGCTGGAAAGTGGCAGGTAGCTAGGTCTTCATCATTATGCTCCAGATCTTGGTTCCTGGACCATGAAGTAAAATGTATATTTTGCTGCACATGAAATGTCAAGAAGTTTGTCTATCCTGCACTTATTCTTATATCTGCTAAACAATTTAGGACTTATAAAAATCTAGACTGATGTTTGATTGAACATACAAGGATTAAAATTGGGTAGTGATCAGGCAACTCTGCTTTCAGACTGGTAGCTTTCATTAAATAGGTGGGCCTAGGTGGTTCTGTGCTTACTTCCTGTGTATATCTGGGGGTTTTGGGGGGAGGAGATAGGCTATCTTACTGGTACTCAACCTCTGGTCCTCCCAATTTTTAGAGTCCCCCCCCCCCAAACCAATGATCAGAGATTCTGGGAGCTGAAGTTTAAAACATCTTGAGGGACAAAGGTTAAGAACCACTGCTCTAGACATTTGCATCCCATCATACACCAAGAACAATTGTCAAGCTTCGTTAGGGCTCCTCCTGCTTAATGTTAGATGTTGATGAAGTGGCTCATCTTGGCTCAGAGGGGAAAGGAAATGGGAATGTGTTCATGGATGTAATACACCCTCGTATGCTTTCTCCTCTCCTTTCTCAATTGGTAATCTACCTACCAAGGCTTTATAGCTGGCAGGGAGAAAATGTTGAATGTTTTACAAAGGGCTACAGAATAATACTTTGAGCTCAGTTCAAAAGCTGACATATGCTTGTGAGAACCATACTTAGATGAATATTTCTCTCTGGTAGTATTCTGTCCTCAGTGCCATAGGAGGCCATTGTTCTGACTTGGTCATCTACAGTGTGAAATTTTGAAGATCTCGAGTATTATTCTATGAAAGGTTTCTCTCAGATATATTGGTTACCTATGGTTGTCTTCACACCTTGAAGAAAAGATTTTTGAGAACCTACTACGCATCCGTGTTCGCTTCATAAAAGCATATTTAAGGAAGTGGGTCAGCAAAGCCTCCCTCCTTTTGGTCAACTTGTCTTTCACCATCATCTTTCATATCCCATAAACAGGAGTGAAAATCATGCAGCATTGTTGGACTGCAACCCAAAGCTGAGCTCTTTTGAGATGATGGGGCTTTCAGTCCAGAATCATCTGGAAGCCCTCATGATTCCTACCATGGCACTAATACACTGTAATTATTTCTATAAATTATTCCTATCACTGTATTAAACAGTTGCCCTAATACATTGATATATTGCCCAGTCTAAGCTATCTTTTGTGTTTGCTACTTAAGTAAAAAGCAGAATTGACAAGAAAGCTTGAAAACTGTGCGAGGACTGCCCCTCCCCTCCTGGCCCCAGTAGTATCACTTCCTGAGATGCTTGGAGTTTGTTCAAAACCACAATAATCGAAAGCTTGGATAAAATGTTGACAACAAATGAGGAACCTGGGCCAAGGGGATGCCCATGTGGTTAAGAAGCATAGTCAAGGAAACCTTAATAGCCAAGAATGCTTCCTTTGGAAAGTGAAACCGCAGTGTACAGAAGACAATGAAAGGAGAAAGCCCTGTTCCTTTATGGCTAAAAGAGTGTATTACTAAAACACATGGAAACAAATTAAAAGGCATAAGAAGCAGAAAACCAACCAGGGAGGCAGTTGAATAAGAGGTGATGTTATTGCTAAAAGAGTTGGGAGATAGATTTCAGAGATGTTCAGGGATATTTTTTTTTAGTTTTGAACTCTTGAGCTCTTGAATTATTAATTTTCACCTATGATGATGTTGGATAGATACTAGTACATTCTTCAAGAGATTATCTGATGAAAGAAGTGACAGCTAACTGGCAAACTTAACTCATCACCTGATCTGGATGTTCTATTTCTGAGACTTCTTAGAGAATTTAAATATGAGACTTCAAATATTTCACAAAGGTATGCTACTTTCCAGTGCAACTTTTCTCTTTAACAGGAGGATTAGGTTGTTGGCTAATGCCAGCTTTTAATAAAAGATCCACGGGGAGCCAGGCAGTTATAATGCCATTAGCCTACCTTTGTGTCCAACACAGATTGGTGGAAAAGACTGCTTAAAGATAGAACTACTAAATTTAGATGGCTGCCATTCCAGTGACATAATCTAATAGGGCCAT